GCTCGGCTACAACTAATTTTTTTTTTTTTTAGAAAACATAACGAAATACTCAGATCTTTGTAAAAATAAAAATAAAAAGCCTGAAACTCCAAACATTATCATCTATTGCAGTATGTTATATAACCACTTTCAGAAATGAATTTGCATTTTTAAACGTGTTTTAGCCTTGAAGTATTTCTTAATATTATAAAAATAAATGCAATATTATATATGTGTATAATTACATATATGTATAATTTAAGCAACTGTTTTTTTTTTTTCAGTGATTATAGTTTTGAAAAACTCAGAGTAAGTATTTTACTTTGGGTTAAGTATATACTTTAAAATGAGAGTCCTTTTCCCTAATATGATGAAATGCTTAGACGCACTGCCAGTCAATAAAATCTAAGTTCTCTTAACAATCATGCAAGAATATACTTACAGGAAATAAGAACTATTGTTTTAACACAGAAGCCATCAGAACAATACAAGTTATTGCCAGGATCTCAGCAGTAATCTTTTTTAGAGGTGATGTTAAATCTGCACAGAGAGAAATAGAAAAACAGAGAAAGGACAGTAAAATTAGAATGTTTTCATATGAGGGAACGCAGGTGTGCAGAAAATTACACGGATAAACTCTGGTTTCTAAACAAATATCTGCCATACTAAGCTTTCTCTCAAAATACAAGATTTTATTTTCAGTAAATACAATGCTGTTATTTTTTGATCAACGCCTACAAAGTTAACAACGTCTGAACAAAATTAGTCTTAATATTTCATATTAAAATATCATAGCTGACTCTGAGCTCTGATATTATGATTGAAAAATATTCCCTAATCTTTCATATAACTCTACTATCCAACTGCACATCCTAGAAGAGTAATATTGAAGATAGACTAAATATTTTACCTTTGTTGTGGTAGGTCATGTCTTTCTCTTGATGATCCAGAGAAGCATTTTGAAGGTTTAATTTCATGTGGGTTTTTTCCTGTTTAGTTACTGAAATGGAGCATTCAGCGACCTTAGAATTTTTTTGCTGCTTCTTTGGGTCCTCGAACTGATTAAATTGTGAGTAAGTTTTTCTTTGTTTCTTCATCTCTGTAGCTGTGTGATGTCAGAGACTGTGCTCTGTGGTAACTTTACTTAATACGTTTATAAATGATTTGTAAAATTACAAGATTCTTGATATAGTCAAACGGGATGTGCTGGGGGTTAGTAATAATATTTATTTTGCAGGCAAATACTGTAAAATCTGGTTCCAGTTTCCTTAAAGCTTTAAACAAAATTATCATGATAGCGTAAATAAAAATTAATCTACATTAGACATATTATTAGTGGGACAAGAAATTAGTGAAGAATAGTGAGTTAATGACTAAACAAATTAAATTAATTTAACAGATTCTACAGAAATATTTTAACACCATTAGAATACCTGGGATAAAAATTAAAATACTATATTGGAAAAAAAACACACTAATTTTATGACAATTTTACATTTATTAATCATTAAAGATTTAGTGCTATAAAATGAAAGAGCAACAATAGCACATATGGTAATTTCATACTCTAAAACACATTTAGTTAGTGACTTACATTAACATTCAAACTTTAAGAAATACCCTATTGTGTCAAAATCATAAAGATCACTTTACTTGTTTAAGCAATTGGAATAATTCTGGTCAAGTTATCTAGACATTGAGATCCAGAATTATTTCTGATTGAAATTTTTGTGATCATTAAAAATTTAGTTACAGCCTAAAAAATAATTCACTAAATAGGAGACTGTTATATCAGTGTGATGCATCTTTTTTTTGCAATTTTTTCTCAAATTTTAAAAATCTTCCAATTATTTACAATTAAGTTTAGATAGAATTTTATGAGAACTAGTTCATGTTTATTTTTACTAAATATAAACCTCCTTTCATTTACCTATAAATATGCATGTAAATTATACTTGGCATTCATAATTTGATGTATTTATATTAAAAATTTTATCTCTAATGGCTCAGCTAAATATAAGGTATTTTTATACTTTTACTGATTACAAAATCCAAAAGTAATTATTCATTATCTTGATGGTTGCAAGTTTTACTTTAAATTATATTGATTAACAAACATAATATAATGTGTGTATATACTTGCCTAATTCTAAAGAAATAATTTAAATAGTTTAAGAAATTTTCAAAAAATATTTTATATATTAGTCTTATTTTTCACCATAATTTATTCAAGTAAAAAATGCCAATTTTCTACTTTGATTTCATTCTAAGTTAATTAACCTTGTTTATATTGCTTCTAGCATTTGTAATTTTTTTACTATACGAAATAGGTTACTAGAGAAAGAAAAGAATAACAACACATAGCTTGTGTCACCAGAAAGTCCTGCATTCTTTAGTGGAGAGGTCAGGTTATCCTCATGTGGAAACAAAAAATATCTGCGATCTTCACCACTGCCCTGTGAAGACTCAGAATGAAACAAAAGTGGAAACAGTATATCTCATAAATATGCCACTTAAGATTTGAAGAGAAAACTTTCATACTTTAATTATTGTAAAATCAGTTTCTCTCATCTCACAGATTTTCAGAATATGGGAGACTTTGGTTTCTAAAGTATCATTTATCTTGTCCATTTTCAAGTGCTTCATAGAAATTAGTTTTATATTTAGCATGATGAAATGGAGCAAAAACTTTATTAACTATGAATATTTTCCATCTCGATCATAAACACTGAAAACTTAAGCCTTGTTAATAGTATCCTTGATGTATAAGTTCCATAGTTAGATAAACTTGAAATTATATACTTCTTTCCTTATACATTTAACATTATTGCTATTATGATTAATTTTTTTAAAAAATTATAATCCCCCTATTCATAGGAATTTAATTTGTCACTAATTATTATGAGGGATGACTACATTATTAACTTTAAATGAAATCGATTTCTGAACTTAAATTTGCACATTTATCTTCTTGATTTCTCTAATATGTAAAATTCCATTATTCAGTTTTATTATTTGTTAATAAGTTGATATTTCTCTAATAAAAACAAATGTCTCTTGGAAGAATAAAATGTTAAACCCTATTGGACTATATGACCATGTCAGATACTGAAATAATGAATAACCACTCATTTTATTGTTCACTGATCTATTGTCCAATAATAAATAATTATCTATGTTTCTTAGAAATATTTATGTAAATAGTTAAATTTAAGTCAAACCATGTAGAAGGAGATAAGCAATTTTTTAAATGTCACCTAACTAAAAGTAGGAAGAACAGAAAAAGCATTTTGAAACAAAAGTTCAATGAATGTGAAAATCAGAAGAAAGACTTCAAATTATCCAGCTTAATTAAAATTAAAATTATTTTATTATTTTTACTTTCATTTCAAGAAAAAAGGGAATGTCTGTTGTCTGTAATTCCAAAGCATATTCCATGATACCTCTTAAAGACTGAATTTTTAAAAATTAGCTTTCTAAAATCTAGAAAAATAAAAATAAAATTCATATGAATTTCCTTGAATAAGATCAATTATTTGAGTCTTCCAAGACAATAACTAATGTGGGCTAGCTATATATGTATTTATGTAAATTATATTTTAAAATATTTTTATATATGAAGTTAATAATCTGTTTATATACTTGTGTACATATTGCATGTATTTCTATTAGAAATACATTTATTTATATTTATGTATTACAATTTCTTGAACTACATTAATATATTTTCTATTAGTCTTAATATACAAATATAACAACAAAGTCATTAATTAAAGATAGCAAATAATGTAACATTCATCAACATTTTGCTTCTAAATTTGAGATACTAATGTCTATCGTTCTTCCTTCAAACACTCACTTATTGTTTCCAATTAAATAGCATTATTGTCATATATTACTTAATGATGAAGAAACATCTTGGAAAATACAAGATTTGATGATTCGTCATTGTGTGAACATCATAGAGAGGATTTACACAAACCTAGATTATATAGCCTACTGCACACCTACACTGTATGGTATAGTCTATTGCCTCTAGGCTAAAAACCACACAGAATGCTACTCTATTGAATATTGTAGACAATTGTAACACAATGGTAAATATTTGTGTAACTGAACATAAAAAGGTAAAAATGTCATGCTGTACAGGGCGTTTACCACCAATGGGACTTGCAGGACTGGAAGTTGCTCTGGGTGTCAGTGATGGTTGAGTGAATTTGAAGCCTATGGCATTACAGTAATTTACTATAGTAAATTGTATAAAGACTCTGCAGTGATGCTACACTAAAGCTATACAAATATTTTTCTTTCTTCAATCATAAATTAATATTAGCTTACTGTAAAGTTTTACTTTATAAACTGTATATTTAACTTATTGGTTCTTTTATTTATTTGTTTGTTTGTTTGTTTTTATTTTTATTTTTTTGAGTTGGAGTCTCACTCTCTCGCCCAGACTGGAGTTCAGTGGCCGCTCCCGGCCACCGCAGCCTCGACCCGCTGGGCTTCGGAGATCTTTCTGCCTCAGCCTTCAGAGTAGCTGGAACTACAGGCACACGCTATCATGTCTTGCTAATTATTGATTTATTGTAGAAATGAGGTCTCGTCAAGTTGCCCAGGCTAGTCTCGAACCCACGGGCTTAGGCAATCCACTCACCTCAGCCTCCCAAAGTGGGGAATTACAGGCTGAGCCAACGATCCTAATATTGGCTCTTTTTTTTTTTTTTTTTT